CTAACTTCTGTCAGTCAAACTGGTGCGTGGTCTGATGCCTGAGACTGTTCTCTCAAACTATTCAGTTATGTTTCAAACCTTACTAATATAAGACTTCATCTCTTCAAAAAGTAAAAGTCTGGGTTTTTTGGGTTTTTTAAGCAAAACTATAAAGAGAAGTAAGGCAATGGAAAAACTTACTTTGTCTAACCAGAGTGGAAATTGGCGATCCTGGACTCTCCCCTGACTACATAGAAAGAACTTGGAGAATGGAATCTGACAATAAGAAACAAAGGCTTCAGTTTCACTTACATAGGCATGAGTGTAGGAAAAGGAAAACCCTCACCCATGGGATATGAAATACACATCTTGGCCTCGGTTTCATAGCAAGGCATGTGGAATTTGCACAAAGGATGAGAGGAACAGGTCAAATTCCTTTTGGTTTCCCCTGCAGTCAGCTTCAGTCCCATGTTCTGCGGTGGCTACTGCTGTAGGACTCTTACTTGATCATCATGTGCTAGACAAGGCAATCATAAACTACAAGCAGGGAACTAGTACATAAATATTTTACATGTTTAGGATGCCATAATACCTCTTGAATTTAAATTTTATTAAGTGGAGTTCTTTTTCTCCCACTAACACCTGAAGGTATAGCCCAATGTATGTTTTATTCAAATGAGATTCTAGTATACATGAAGCTGTAACTTCTTACTAACCTGATGAACAACAATAATATGTAGCACTAGAGCTAATCGTTTCTGAACTCAAACCATTGCAATATACTAAAGAAAACACACTCCGACTCAAGTATTAAAAAGCTGAAAGCTTACTAGTGAAAAGCTGACGCTGTTATCTCAGGCCTCTAAATACCATTTTATCTTGGCCTCCAAAAGATTCAAGAGCTCAGAATTTATAATTCACCATAAATCTCAAAGCCCCATAATCTTAGATTAATAATTCAGAAAGTGAAGCACCTGCTGCTACTGGTTTATAATGCAAATGTTATAACTACTGTAGGTCCACTTATTAGAATAGCCTCATAAACTAGATAGCTAGAGAGAATCCCAAATATTCCCTATCCTATACTTTAACCACTACAAAGTGGGATTTTAAAATTTAAGACACCTAAATGTGTGCCCTAGTTTTTTAACTGAACCTAACTAGCATCAAAGGGAATTAGTTTTTCAGTGTTTCTTTTTCAATCATGATTTGTTCAGGGGCCTCCTTTAGTTATACACATTTTAAAGTACTAGTTGCCATGACAAATCTTGAAGTAAGACAGTTTTTTCAATGCAAATCAACAACGGCTGGTTGGGGAACTTTTTCTGTGGTAGTAAATTAAAGAGCCCTAAGTACTCAATTTCAGAGATATCTAAAACCACTGTACTGAAGATAATTAATTTTCTTTAGACCAGTTGAAATATTCATGAGGTTACCGTGATTTCCTCCCAGTATGGACCGCCTCGGGTAAACATGAAGTAATGGTACATATCATCCTTTTGATGGGAAAAGTATGGGTCTGTAAAAATGTTTATCATCCAGGGTCGACCATCACCACGGACACGTAAATGCAGACTATTAAAGTTTGTCCAGTCATAGTATTTCTTCCTATTAAAAACCCCCTGCAAGAAATTAATAAAGTGTGTAATTTTATCTTAGTATGTCAATAAGAATTACTACAATAAGACCTGAGGCATCCTTTGAATAGTCTCCCCCTCTCTCCCTTTTCATTAATTAGATAATGTTTTCTGTAACCCAGAGGAGACACAATGTAAGATAAGGAAAACCAGACTTACTATTTGTTTCATTATAATAGTTTTAGTTCCATGATTCTCAGTGCTGTTAGACATCTCAAAAATGGGGTAACATCTTCAAGGACTTGTACTCAGATTTTGTAATCACAAATCTCACTATAGAAAATGAAACGCCACTCCCAGCACATTAACACAGATACTGCCATGACAGTATTTCTTTAAACCAGTATCCTGCGTCTAAGAATGGCCAACAGCAGAAGTTTCGGAAGAAGGTAAAAGAAAAGTAACAAGAACAGGTATAAAATAACCTGCCCCCGCTACAAAACTTTTTGTAGCTAATTCTGAGATACGTGCCTTCCTTTAAATTAAAAATTATCCTTCATATTTATTATGCTTTGTGTTGGCCTCAACTTGCTTTGTAAAGGTGGGAAGGTAGTAAGAGGCATTAAACAATTTGGCCAGATTTACACAAATCTGTGGCAGTCCTGGAAATGTAATCTGGGTCCAATTCTCTGGATTTAGCCATCTCCCTTCGAATGAATGTTCACCTGTACACTTAGTTTAACCTATCCAATTTCCTATGTGCCATCTTTAAGTATGGCCTCTGATTAAATCTGTTCACATTCTTTATCCTTCAGAGCCCTAGTCCTCAATTTTTTACTTCTGTTCTCATTAATTAGGTCACAACTCTTGTTATTTATTCCATTGCACAATCGCACTCTCGTCTAAACTGACTCCAAGCTTTTTCATCTTGGTATCCCCCCCACTTTTAAGAAACATCTAAACATGAATACCAATAGTTTTTCATCAAATGAAGGAAACAGACTATTATAACTAAATCATATTTTTGTTCTGTTCTATTTATAACTTGGTTTAGTCTTTTGCATATTTTGAAAGGCATCAGAATCCACATACAGAATTTTAAAAAGGATATTCCATAGCAGATTCTTCCTCTTTCACTTCAGCAACAAAAGAGAGCATATTCTAACCTCAAATTGGGTTTGGATACAAAAGTTAAGTTTGGGCCTAGATACTGTGACTACTTGTAGGTACGCACATATACAGGTTAAATAAACAAAGTAGTTAGCACCGCACCAGTCATTTAAAATGCACCAATTCTGTAAATAAAACTTTGCTATAGGAGACTAAGCTTGCCTTTACTCAGTTACCATGTGTGCAATGGGAAATCCACTTTTGGTGATTAAAGGAAAAAAACGCTCCTTTATTAAGAAAGATTTAGCCCTGAGCTAAAGTTTCAACTATGCCTAGTCAGAGTATGGCAATGATTACATCAGCAAATGGATTGAGGCAGAACGTCTCATACTTCTTCAACTGTCCCAATTTACTTGCAACAAATAAAAGCCAATTTATTCTCACTGGTATAACACAGCAGAGTTAACTAGATTAAAGTAAGCCTCAAGAAGTTTGTTAAAAAGCCTAGCAAAGGTTGTCTTTGTTTTAGTCAATCTGAATACAGATTGTATTATCAGCTTAGACTAAGAAACCTAACAAGCAACCAGCACTAGAAGTCAAGAGTTTGAATTTTGTACTTGATTCAATATACTCAATGGACAGTCTACGAAGCATCTAGAACAGAGTTCACCCTTCAGCTCCCTGCACTAAATAAACACTTCAGTTATTCATAATTTTCCATGGCAAATATGATTTTTTTCTCCAGTTGTGAGTGCAGTGAGCTCAAAATGTTTTTCTCTCCTTCCTGTGTCAGGAGAGTTTCTAATAAATAGAAACAAATGTACATTGAAGAGGTAATCAGAAGAAAAATATCTGTACCGAAGTCCCCTAATCGCCCATCCTGACAGCAGAATAAGAGGTCCCTGATAAAATACTGAATGTTAACTTAAATAATTAAGTTTTACTCACCAGTCGTGGCTTGGCTTTAAATCCACAATATCCACTGTATTTTGTTTCCCCATCACGAGGTACTTCAGTATTGAGGGTCCCATAGAACAGAGCACTTTGGTTATTCTTGCCTAGTTTTAGGTAGGCTTCACTTTTCCCTCCAATCTCTATATCGGAGCTAGCTATCCATTTATCTAAATCTTTCTGGCTGTGGAATTTCCAGACCACTCTAGTCTCTTCCCATAAGTGAACATGCAGAGGTTGGCCATCATAACTTGTTACATGCTCTGCTATCTCAGACTTTAGTAATTTAAAATGTTTTTTAACCCCATTCACTGCTTTTTCAGTACTGAAATCAATTTTTTTCCAGACTGGAGTGTCATCAGGGCTTATTCCTGGTCTCCTATAGCTACTATACATTTTGGAGATGTGATTAGTGACGAGAGGGCCAAGCAAAGAATGCAAGACTTTGTGCCTCTGGCACTCCCTAAGAGGACGAGCACTAGCCAGTAGTTTAAAAGCTACAGCCATAAAGGTAGAATTGAAGGATGATCAAATTTCACTTTGAGAATGGGCACTACCAGGTCTGAAATAAAGTCTTCAAAAAAGATTACTAGATGTACCAAATGTTAAGGTAGCTTGTTTCCTCCACCTGTAACAAGAGGAATGAGAGAAAGAGATTACAAGCATACTTGTAAAGGTTTTACTTGTAAAAGGACACTGGCTTGAAATTAACCAATTTAAAAAACAGTTAAAAGCAATATCAGATTCTATGACTGCTGTGTCTTCTTGATTTTTGTCATTTTACAATAGCATTTTCCTATTTTTTATGCTTTTCTCCTGCCATTGCTGCATAAGATTCCCAACATGAATCACGAGACAAAATGCTTGAAGTAAAACTGAAAATAAAAAAATATTCTCCATTCTTTTAATCACAGTAAAAGTAGATGTCACTTGCAGCATTACCAGAAATTTGCAAAGAAAATTTGAAAGTTGATTAACCTAACCCTAACCCTTGTGGAACACTGCGTGGCCATAATTTTGCAAACAGTCCTATCACTTTGTATCACATCTTTATGTATAAGACATAGCTGTTATACATGCACACTGAAATCTTTATATATATACACACACACACACATACACACATACTATTATAATGTAATATATATATAAAATGGGTTGTATCATATTTTTATGTATATGCAATAACGATATTTAAATATGTTACAAACATATATACTATCCAATGCATTTATATATAAAGATATACTAAAATAAAAAAGATGTACTAAAGAGATATGTATGTACTAAAATATATGTATGCTGTACAATATATAAATTGTTCATGTGTTTTATATAAAATACGATATATTATGTTACATAGGATGGAGACAAGGGATGAAACCGACGTTGACTGACTCCTCATTTGTGCTGCCTTAATTTTTTTAAGGCAGCACAAAAGCTGAGCAAATAAAGTTTCTTACTCTTTGTTGCACCACACAACAGGAAAATCAGTGGTGCAACAAAAAGTATCAACAGACTTGCACTACTGAGGCAGACCTCTATTACCTTGCAGTGCTTCCCCTGCTCAACCAGCCTATGACAAGGGGGATGGGTTGGCACAGCAGAGACAAGCCCCCCCTGCCCTATTTGGTTCTGGGGCAGGGAGAAAAGTGCTTCCCCACTCAGCCAGCCCCCCCGCCCCCACGTGGGTCTGGAGCAGTGAGGCAAGTGGGGAGATGTGGGACAAGGGAGGACGTGTGTTGCGCCCAGTGAAGGGGACGCACCGAGCTGCCCCACGACACAAGGCGGCACAGGTGAATTGCTCCATGTGACGCCTGCGATGGCAGGAGACCAGACTTGACCCAACTGGCCCTCTCCAGCCCAGGTTTCTTAAAAAATGTATTGTTTTGCTTTCTATGAGCTATTCCAGCATCAGCCAAATACGTCCCGTCCGTCCCCCCGCCCCACTAGTATTTAGTAAAATAAAAAGAACTCCCCCAATATCCCTAGAGAATACTCCCAGCAGCCCATACAACATTGATGCAAGAAAGTCTGACCCTTTAAACAAGCTGCATGGCATAACTATGGAAGTGCTGCCTGGCCTGGGGATGGGGGTCTTTTATTGGACCAGCCACGCAGAAGGGCCGCGGCTGAGGCCGGACGCGCTGCCAGGGCCGCCCGCACCATCCACACTGCGCCATGCTCGGACCATTGTGACGCAACATGACGCGGGGATGACGTCCCCGCCCCAGACGCGCTCTCCAGAGGGGCAGCTGCAGCGCGGCTCAGCCCGAGCTGCTTCCCCCACAGCACCCCGTGGAGCCCGCCAGCGCCGCCCCCGGCCCCACAGCGGCCCTGAGCGCCCCAGGGGCAGCACCCTGCCCTCGCCGCCCCCCGCGCGCTCGTCCGCGTCCTTGTCCTCACCTGCCGGCGGACGTAGCGAGTCCGGCCGCGATCAGAGCCCGCCGCGCAACCGCGACCGAGAGCAAAGGTTCCGCGCCCTGCCGGAGGAAGCCGCGGGGTTCTAGGGTCCGCGATGCTCAAAGCCACCGCGCTCCCCCGGGCCGGCCTCGCCGCCAGGCACAAACTCAGCTCAGCCCGCCAGGCCGCTGCCGGCTCGTCCCCCCAGCACAGCCCGTGCTCCCCTCGGGGAGGCAGCACCAGCTAGTGGGTAGAGCCAAGGCCAGGGCTCCGGGATTCCTCCTGCCTTCCAGTCCCAGTCATACCACGACTCGGCCTGGCCCTAAGCACCCGGCACTTGCGTCCCGTTCCCTCCTCTGCTGTAAAAATGATACTTGGGTGCGAGTGTGAGGGTTACGTGCTGCCTGCCTGCCTGCCTGTCTGTCCTGAGACTTGCCCCGAGGGCTCCAGCTGAAAGGCTCTGTGAGTATAAAACATTATTTTACTGGTCGGTGCATTTTTTTAAATTGAGATCAAAGGGTTTTGGGGAGGAGGGCTTAGGGGTTTTTTCGGTGGTGGCTGTTGTGTGTGTGTGTGTGTGTGTGTGTGTGTGTGTGTGTGTAGGGGGGTTGGTGTTGGTGTTCAGGGCAGTGAAGTTCTACACCAGCCTTTCAGTCAGAGCTGTGTGGGTAAAAAATGTGAAATACTGAGACAGAATTTGATTGGAGTATAAAAAGTGCATCTGATGCGACACCTGTCATGGCAGGAGACCAGACCTGGTGACATAAGTGGTCCTCTCCAGTCCTATTTTCTTTAAAAAATATTGTTTTGCTTCCTGGGAGCGATTCCAGCATCAGCCAAATGCACTTCCCCCGAACTACTGCAAAGTAAAAAAAAAAAAACCCCCGAAAACCCAGTAGCCCTTGAAGAAACTTCCAGCAGCCCATATTACTTAGATACAAAAAAGCCTGACCCTTTAAACAAGCTGCATGGCATACATGTGGAAGTGCTGTAAGACCTTTCTATTTGGGCAGGCGTTTAGCAAGCAAAGTTAAGCTGGGATATTGTTTGGGGGAGGGGGGTTGCTTTATATGTTGCTTCAATATAGATTTCATAAGTTGTTTTGTGCTCTTGCTTGTTCTCTTGTTTTATAAGTTATTTTGCTCGTTTACTGTAAGTCACCTTGAGGGTCTGTTGGGAAGGGCAACATATATCTCTAATAAATAAATGCCGTATTTTCATAACATACACATCACAAACTGTTTGATGACAATGACTCCTTTCTTGGCCTCTATTCCCAATTTTCATCACCCAGTATAAATGTACAAAGATTTTCAGAATTACTTTCCTCCCATCTCCCCACATATTCCAATAGCCTGCAGAGTTCAGGAAATCCTTAACATCCTGATAATTCAAAATAGTAAGAAAAAAAAAAAGAAAAACAAACAAAAAGATATTAACCTATCTTGAAAAATCATCATTAGTTTGGGTAACTTTTAAAAAATAGGTTCTTCCATCCACCACTATGATGCATATTGTTTCTCTGTGAATGCCCAACAGGTATGGATCTTGACTGAGTCTACTGATGTTTGCAACCTGAAAACTCAGGCAAGTCTTGTCCTATAGCTGCCAACATTTTAGACGTACCGTGATTAGCAATTTAGTGGTTTATTTTCACTTATCTAAAACTCCATATACCTGGCCAGTTCACAGTTCAGCTACATGTAATCTGTATTTAAACCATAGTTTACTTACATTAACATGTTTAAAACCACATCCTACAAGCTTCTTTGGAAATGCATAGCACTGACATATTATATAGTGTTTATGACATTTACAGGAGAAACAGTAGGGTTTATGGCTCAGCCTCCCAGGTCTAGAAGGGGTTAACTAATTGTAGGAGCATCATGGCTATCAGAGAAGTACACTACATGGAGAGCACATAGGAAAGTGAAAAAACTTGGGGGTGGGTGAGTGGTCCAGAGCAAATGCTGTTTGATGTACCTGGATCTTTGTTACTTAGTATTTCATGACTTTCAAAACCTGTCTTTACATTTAAAATTAATGTAATTTATTAATGTAATGTTATTAATTGTAATGGCTGAGGTGAACATTTGTAATCTTAACAATAATATAAGATTGTATTGTTTGAATACATGATTATTAATAAAATAACCATTAATTCTTACCCAAACCTAGGAACAGCATACAGCTTCTCTTGCCAATAGTCTCTCTGAGACTTACCTGCTAAGAGATTGGCAGAGCTGGATATTTATGCCTGTCCAGAGCGCACTGGGCTTTAAAGATATTCTGCCTGGGTGCAGAGGTCACCCTGAGCAGAGCACATTGCAGGAGCAGGGACAGAACCAGGAGGGAGAGGAGGGAATCCATAGATTTCTGTTGGAAATAGTCAGTGGTTTACAGTAATGCCACTTAAGCTGTCAGAACTTCCAGCATTAATCCTCTTCTGCAAAGAACAGGTTGTTTGGCCCCTGCTACACCTTATATATATTTCAGTTAATTGGTGAATCCGGCAATGCATTTCAACTGACCATATGTGCAAAGTAATTATCACATGTCTGACTGCTCAACCATGCAATACATTTAGAGCAGCCACCTGTGCAGAGTAATCATCACACTTGACCATCCAGCTATAAAGAGAGTCAATCTGCTATAAAGTTAGTGCTTGAAATTGTGTAACTCCATGGCTGGTTTCCATTTAGCTGGAATCCAAACAGGTGGCAGGGCCCTCAAGAGGAAATTCCTGCTCCTCCAACCTCCAGGGCTGTCATTCATCTGTCACCTTGGAGCTCTGCCATGCCTTCAAATTAAAACTGGCAAGAAACCAGCTATAGAGCTGCCACATATTTTCAAGCACTAACTTTATTTGGTATTTTGCATTTGTATTTGGCATTTTATAGCTGGAGAGTCATTTTTGTGTGTGATAATGACTTTGCTGGGGGGTGGGAGGTCGGGTCTAATAGATGTATTGCGTGGTTTACTAGTTCCTCATGGGACAGTTACTTTGCACTTGTGGCCGGTTTACACTTCTAGTGCGATTTAGCGGGGAATTGTGCGATATATGTAACATGTAGCAGGGGCCTTGTGGGAAGAGGCCTGAAAGGAGGAGAGGGGCTAGTGTCCCCCCAGCTTTTGCTGGCCAGATACTGGGGTGCGGAGTAAGTGACCCCTCCTGACTCTCGCCATCAGCGTCTTCTACGTGGAAGCTCCCCGTGGCCCGAGAAGCAGGCGAGGGGCCGCTGGGCGAAGCGCGGGGGGCGGCTCCGCAGAGCAGCGAGGCAGGGGAGCGGCTGCGGCCGGCCCCCCGCGGCCTTTGTTGGGGAACAGAGGGGCTCTGTTGCGGGGAACTCGGCGGCGCGCGGGTTCCAGGCCAGGCGGGCACGTGCGGCGCATGGTGAGCGGCGGCTGGGCCGGGCGGCGGGCGCGGGGCCACGTGCTGTTGGCTGGGCTCCGCCCGGCGGCG